CTCGTGTAGAACGGTATGTGTGTTTTGTAACACGAAAAGCAAAAGGCTCACATTGCGTTCTCAGTTATAAGCTTGTTTTTTTTTGAAACACACAAAGTTTGTGCGTCAAAAAATATTTGTGACTGTCACACTATAATACTCCAAAAAGGGAAATATTTTATCGTGTAACTATATGTAATGGGGTAAAAATCAAATTTATTTAATGCAATGTATCAATATATAATAATAAATAAATTCAATATAAAACGACACGAAAATACGAAAATTTTATTTTTTTAAAAAAAAAAATAATTATAATCACTAATAAATATCATAATAAATAAATATCATAACCAATATATAATAAAAAAACAAATTCATAATCAATATATATAAAAAACTAAAATGTATCCGAATTATTCTGAAAATATTAATTCTAACGATAATATTGATAATAATGATTCTAACAACAACAATCAAACCGCCGACAACCACTACAATAATTTGATTCATCCAGGGGACAATAATTCTAGTCATCAAAACCCTGTCAGAAATAATAATAGTTATTTTGGCGGCGATAACTTTGTTTATCAACATAATATTGCCAACCAAAACTCGGAGATTATTAATAATGTTCTCGTTAACCAGAACAATGCTATTAGCCCAAGTGGCATAATCAACTATAATAATGATTATATCATTGACCAGTATCCAACCATTATTGCTACAACAAGTATTAATCATCCAAACAATTTTTTTGACAATAATTTTATTGATCAAAGCAACAATGATCAACTACTTATTTATATAATCTCTCAGCTTCAAAACCTTCAAAATTTTGTAAATCAATTTTTGAACAACAACAACAACAACAACAACAACAACAACAATGATAACTCGTAAATCAATTTTTGAATAGCGCGCCGATAGCAAAATCATAATCATCAATCAATTTATTATTTCATTATTTTCTTATAATTTTATTCTTTGACAATGTAACTTCATTTTCTAACTATATTTTTTTTATTTTTTATATTTTATTTTACATTTTATATTTTATATTTTATATTTTGTATTTTATATACAATCATCAATAAACAACAAATTTTAAAATTCATTACTGTGTTCAATAGTTCGAATAATTCAAATACAGAAATAAACGAATAAATCATTCGAATACCATCAAAACTCATCGAGAGAATACATATATTTCTATAAAAGGATAAAATTTTTCAGAAAAAAATGGACGAGATTGGCTACTTAACTGTTAATATATATGAATTTGAAGAGCGGTGACATGTAAATTTTGATTGGCTAATTTGAATTTAAGTTAAAACGTCGCAGCGGCACATGCACGAATTTTAATATTAATAAAACAAAAACAGGACAAAAGGACGGATTGTTTTTCTTCTCAGAAGCAGTAAATGTCAATTAACTAAACATTAATATTAACATTAGTATTATATATTGCAAAAAAAAAAATTACAAATGCAGTGGCAAGTAGAAAAAATTGATTTTTTTCATAACATGATAAATTAATTTTTTTTACCGCCTTATCAAATTTGCAACCCTTCAGTATTAACCTTTTCCAATCTTTTATATTCTTCTAACTCTGCTTTAGAGACCTTTAATTGGGCAGAGTCAAAACTGAGAATATGTAAGTTTTTTAACGAAGGAGCTCAGCTCATTTCAATGTATATTTGTCCTTCAGCAAATATGTTCTCATCAACATTCAACAACGCTGTTGGGCTTGTTTTTATTATTAATTCGTGTTTCGCCGATCATATGTAGAAATCTATTATAAAATTGCAGATAATCATCTATATATAATCATTGGTCAGCTTCAAAATACTAATAATAAATACAGGAGGGTCGAATGTAACCCACTAATAGATTTTTTTAGATCAACATGGATATTCAATACTTTGTACTGTACAAGTGTTAAGGACAAGATCTATGAATAAAATATTCTAACGAACGTTTTATCAATTATTCAATAGTTTGTACAAGCGTTAAGGACAAGATCTATGAACAAAATATTCTAATGAATGCTTTATCAATTATTCAATAGTTTATATAAATTTTTTATTTATTTTAACATATATTTTAACATATATTTAATAACATCACTGTGATAAATAAATAATAAAGTCAGGGATAAATTTAATCACTATTGTTGTTGTTTATTGTTCTAATCATTATTTACAGAAAAGAAAAATTTTAATATCTATTTATTTATCATATTTACTTTTAAAATAAATGATTTATTATAAAAGACGTACCTAAATGATCAAAAATCTGTAAATATTCATAATAATGTAATATTTGGACATCTATTTCTACTTATACTTGCAATTGGACGCACCAAACAAAATTTTATGTATATGAATATAAAAGCAAAATTTGACTTTGAGGGTCAGGTTATTTCGGTTTTATTAACAACCTGCTTTAAAATTTTTCATAAGTAGATACAT